CCAAGTGTGTGTGTGTGAGAGTGTGAGTATGGTGTGAGGTTGCGTCTCTGTTTATATCTCCTTGCTCTTAATTAGTGGGAGCAGTGAGCATTGCAGCTCTTGGGGGGATTTTATGTCTGTGTAAACATCATGCGTCATGATTCAGCGAGGTGAGGCGAGCACAGCCCGGCGGCTGCCAAATCTGACTCCGGTCTCAATGGCGACAGTCAGAGGTGACACAGACTAATGTGGAACTGATGACTGATTTGTTTCCATGGGTCAGACCACATAACGGTGGATAACATTTGAGAGTAAATGTTTGTCTGTAGATGTTGCACTTCATGTGTCACATATGCTCCGAAGGATTTGGTCACATATTTCATCCCAGCAGTTTATTTCTCACAGCCGCTGTAGTTGGTGCATCAGCTGGTGTGTATCAGAGTCAGTACACCTTTGTTTTTGCCAAAATAAATCACACTACAGGCGTTTCTGTTTTTCATAAATCACCCTAAACTGTATTAATGGTGGCTGTTTTCTTACTCAGGTAGCATTAAGAAAGTAAGGAAATGTCCACTTATGCTCTATATATTTTATCTTACTCTCTATTTATAAATTTAGCATAAACATGTAGAATCTGCTCTCAGGGGAGTGTTTGGGTTCTTGTCAGAAGTGCTTATGTAATCCAAGTTATTTCAACCAATCATTTGTCAGCAGGCCACATTGTGCCCAGAATAAACAGCATGTGTGGAGAGCAAAAGCAGGCAGGACACCATCAGTTACCCCCATAGACTGTATACCCTTGACAATTTGGTTTCACCTTCCATCATTATACAAATTTGAAACCGAATGGCTCTTTCCAAGATTTTCTTAACTTCCTGGAACCACCACTTGCGCAGTAGCATTGTAAGCATTTGGCAAGAGAGTCGCTGTGATGACGCTCTGCTCAAACAGCGTATCCCCCTGGTGAGCTACACAATCTTCGTATGCCCACATGCTGTATCAAGTGTCAATCACAGAAAACATGAACCCCTAATAACTTTTGAAAACGGCGCTGCACAGAAAAAAGAGGACTTGAGCACAAATCAGTCTTACAATAACAACATGTCAACATCACAACCAGTGCAGAGAAAAAATTATATCCAGTGTTATTAATTTAAAAAGTTTGTACACAACCCCAAGGGGTTTGCTGGAGGAGGCGGGATTAATGACCAATATTGCAGCCCGTCACCAGAGGTTGCTAATTGGTTCTCATGGTGGCTTCACCCAGCGAGGAGGCAGACAGCATCCATTCTCTACAGTCTACAGTTACTCCTCTCTCAAAGTAAGAAATGTTTCTTACTTTTTATTTAAATAAAATATCTGGGGGCAGACAGAGGTTATCTGCAGGTTTGATTATAGCTGGGTAATGTTTTCAAAAAATGTTCAACGCAATGACAACTTCAGAAAAACCATCAGCAGCTCTCTTTCAGGACACAGTCACTGAGTCCAGGCTTGGAAAGACAGTCTTAGCTTTTGCATTTAACATAAGACTATTCTATGTTGTCATTTATTATTCTAATTTACACAACCTTTTTGTCACCAGCAAGCCCCATAAAGGTTTAAAAATATCTTGGACAAAGTAGCAGTTGTACAGAGCCAAAAACACATACAAACTGTCACAAATGCTGATCAACAGATCTGGAACAAAATGTTCAAAATCCCATCTGGCTTTGAAGAAGAACCACGTGCTTCTCTGACACATTCTTAAATAATTAACCTAAATTTGTTTAGCGATATGAGTGTGTTCAATATGAGCAGTTTTCATGGATTATTATGTGACCGAGGTGTATTACATATGAGAAGCCAGTTTTCACGGATCTTTCATCCTCTTTCCTCCCTCTTGCAGTAACACGGTCATTTTATTTATATATTAATTCATTTCATTATTCCTGCATGTATCTATTTATTTATCTTTACCTTTATCTTTTTAAACAGATATCCTCATGCAAGTGCAGTAACAAATCATTCAAAAGAAACAACAAAAAGTTAACAAATCTGCTCTATGTTGCTTTATGAAAATCAATCAGGTTTGTTTGTCCATTCAGCTTTGATTTCCTGACGTCCGTGGATGCATCAGAAATTATCAATCCAACCTCTTTGATGTAAAGGCATTTCACAATTTATCAGCATCAAACAGGCTTGGCAAAAAGGGAGATAGTATGTTTATATTAGTGTACAAAGTATGATTCAGTCTGTTTTTGTGAAATTACAGTACTTTCTCACCTAGCCTGTCCAGTTTGGTTACAACAAGCTCCAGTCTGTTTGCCATGTGAGTGTGATTTATTTACGCTGGTGTGAAAGCTGTCAATCAAACTCTGGTGCAGGCAAAACAACAGTTCCCAGACCACTTAAAAATGTATGTGTGAACACAAACCAAACCTAAAATAATCATAAAACAATGCAACAAACGTTGTATGCATGATTTGGATTAAAATTATCTACTGAATGAGCCTTTCAAGAAAGTGACAAATGTAGTGTCATACTTAAACGTCTCAAAAGCTTCCCATTTCTTGTAGGCCATTGCTACTATACTGACTAGATGGGTGAGTAATTATTTTAATCTAGAATTGGACTGATACTGCTAAACAATACCAAATTTGTACCTTATGACCCACTAATCTGAAGCAAACCACAAGCCAGAGCAGAGCCTCTCTGTAACAGTACTGCTGAACTGACACCTACTGGAAACACATGGACCTGTGCAACTCAAAGGGATGTAATGGAACAAGAAATGACAGCATGAACAGCTGCGTTTCCACCAAGCGGTCCAGTGTTTGCGTTTCCATCGTCAAAAGTTTGGAGAGGTACAAAACTGACCGACCTGAGCTGTCCTATTTTGGCACCAGATAGTTGCGGTATCAAGAATACTTATCCAAACCTAGAGGTTGGAGCCTGACTGTGGCCTGTTGAACAAAACAGAGAAGGCCGATTACTGGATCTGACTTTTTTGATCAGGAAAGTTAAGCTCTTTAATTATGGCTCAGTTAATTTAAGTTTTACTTCAGTAACGGAAAAAATTTCTGGCATTAAACTGGTATTGGTGGTTGAAATTATCTTGTTGAAAAAGAGATGCAAGAGGGAGACAGACATGGTTGAAAAGAGAGACAGATCTCACATAAAGATATATCCAATCTAACCTGATGTAATCTAATAATTAACATAGCTTACCTGCAGCCAATTTGATTGACAAAAACAAAAGTTGACTGTATATATAGGCTCATGTTTAAGAGCTAAACAGGTTAGTTTGGGTACTTCTGATTTGAGTTGGTATTGACACTCTCTGTGGACAAATAATGACTTTTATCTATTCTCCTGTACATGTGAATTAGCATTCTTGGACAAAAATAAATAAAAAAAATCACCTTGTTGTCTCTGAACAGCTAAATTATCACTAACTGTATTTGTTCTGTAAAAGGTAATTAAATACTTAGTAAAAAATGTTGTCTTGTTAGTGATGGTCTTGTTTGCTTCTAAAGGACATTAATTTCAGATCATCATCAAATTCAGAGTATATATCATTCACTTTAAACACCTGACAGTGCTTTTAACATGAAGACTGAATAGTGGGATCTAGCTTCACACTGTGTGCTTTCTTGGTTACTTTGCTTTTATAGACAAAATATGACTAATTCTTTGTAAATAGTGCATTTAATGGTATTTTTCTATTTGTATGACTCTAGGTTTGTTAGATATTTAATTTCTTTTCTTGTGAGTTTGCTTTAATGTCTGTCTTGGACTAATCCATTATGTACAAAAATCCCTAAATGTGTCATTTGACATTTCAGGCATGGTTTCAAAGATGGAAGCTTTAGTTTCTTTGTTGCTCAGTTGACCTCCCAGGAGTTTGGACCTATTTTCTTCTTAATTTCCTCTTTCTTATTACTTTAACTTATTTTTTGTCAGAGTATTGAGTTTTCACAATTTAATTAAAGCAATTTTTCTCTGTTTTACACCTTTGTGCTTTTGCTTTTTCACTCGGCCCCCCACAACAACAGATGGTATTTCTGCCAGTTTAATAACACCTCAAATAATTGCCTCTACAGAAGAGTGATCAATGGGTTATAGTCAAATTAATCAGGTTACTGAATCATACTGGTTTTTAATTGATAAACGTGCAAATTATAAATGTTTTAATGAAATCAGGTAAGTGCCAATAATAATCCTGTATTACTGTTGTAAACACAGCCATCAAAAAGCCCACCCAACCATCCATTCATTTATTTCCTCTGCTTACTCAGGATTAGGAGGACATGAGGGTAGCAGTCCAAGCAACACAACCTCCCCACAACAACTTTCCAGCTCCTCCTGTGGGATCTTAAGGTGCTCCCAGACCAGATATATAATCATTCCAGCGAGTTGTGGGCCTCCCTCTAGGTCTCTTCTCCTTAGGCCAGGCACAAAACACCTCCACAGGGAAGCACCTAGGAGGCATCCTTATCAAATGCCTAAACCACTATAGCTGACTCCTTTCAAAGCCAAGTAGCACCACTACTCCATTACCAGGGTTTTTCCTGCGTTCAAAATTGCGTGGCGGCCGCCTCCACCTAATTTTGTGCCGCCCCCAGCCAGAGCGATTGATTTCGCTCAACACAGCGTAAAGCTCCAGCTGTGTTGATTGAGCGTATGATGTCCCTCTGCAGCAGCAACGTATTTTAACTGCAGTTGCAGCGTTGCACCACTATAGAGGCGCTATATCAACAGCAGTGCATCGGAAAGACCTGAAGCATCTACCGAAGAAGAAACGGATCGAATCATGTTTTTTTTCCCGCTAGTTGGTGCTATCGCGTCCTGATTTTCCCTGGCGGCTGGACACAAACAGGTAAATACTGCTTGTCTTTTTTGCATCCGAGCATGACGTGTTTATTTAAAAAAAAAGTTTACTCCGTTTTTAGCGTTGCAGTTATGACGGGCAAAATCAGCCAGTACTTTAAAAAGCGACCTCGCAAGGAGGAAAGTCAAGAGTCCAGGTGAAACACATCAGAGAAAAAAAAGGAACAGGCAGTTAAAATGCTATAATTCATGGTGGTGACAACGTGGAAATTTGTGTCAGGTCTGAAAGTACTTCACAAGGGACTGGTGATCGCGAGGGTCAGAATGCAGGACAGGACGAGTCGGCGAGGCGAGGGTAATTAATTAATTAGTTTCCAATTAGGAGCATAACAACGCAAAACCAACGTGTACGTGGTTTTTATTCCTCTTTCCAGATCTTCTCAAAAACACAGAGCCAGTGGCTTTGACAAGCAATGGCTCAATCAATTTACCTGGCTCAGGCATACTGAGGAAGGCATGCACTGCTATTTATGCCAAAAGCACTGTGCCCCAACACAGCAGGCAATTGCTGCCTCCTTAGTGAGACAGCCATCAACCAACTACAGGCTGGACACATTAAAAAGACATGAGGTGACAGCCATTCACAAAGCAGCAGAAGAGAAGGAGAAATATATTAAAGATGGTAGTACCTAAAAACACTCAACTAATAAAGTTACAAAAACTAAAATAACATAGTTTAGATAGTTTAAGAAATAATTGGTTGTCGTTTTTTTTAGGGAGGACACTGCAACGTATACATATATATAATATATGATTGAAAACACTATCACTCTTCATGTCTGTATCAGAATAAAAACAAAAAATACTTCATGCATGATGAATTGTTTTGTTTAAGGTGAAGACACCTCTGCGGAACAGACTGAAGGAGAGGCACTTGGATGTCTGTTGTAAGGTGGCCGTTGATGGACCAGACCAGGAGGCCTTGGACTACAAGGAGTGCATGAGGAGGTTCTACAGAATGAAAAAGAGGAGGCTGAAATGTTCTGTCTGGTTGTGAGATGTGTGGATGAAGTGTACTTTCAATTTAAAGTTGCCAGCTGATTTGTGTATGTATATAGTTTTAATAAATGAATGCTTTAGCATGATAATGGTCACACTCTTTTTTGAACTCTTAACTTAAAGTATGTTGCCTGTAAAAGAAAGTGAGTCAGTTGAATTTACAAATACATGCACGTCATGGCGCATGGTCAGGATGGTGCCACCTCTGCCTCAATTTGAGCCAGGAAAAACCCTGATTACTCTACTCCAACCTCCCTCTGGGTGTCTGAGGCTCTAACCCTATCTCTAAGGCGGAGCCCAGTCATCCTTTGGAGGAAACTCATGTCAGCAGCTTGCATCCATGGTCTCTAATTTCAGTCACTACCACAGCTCAGATCTTAGATCCACAGGTAAACTGAAAACTTAAGCTCAGGCTCAGCTCCGCCTTCACCATGATGTTTGGGCACATCACTGCTGACACCAAACCAATCTGCCTGTCAATGTCAGGATCCATTTTACCCTTGCTCTTGCAGGAGACCCCGAAGTACTTAAACACCTTTACTCGGTGCACAGACTTGCTTCCCACCCAGATAGAGTAACCTCGTCCCGGCCACATCGCACTTGGCGGCACACCACCTCAGTGCCTGTTGAAGAAGGCAACATCATCTGCAAAGAGCCTCCCCCGGCTTCTCCTCATGATCCAGTCCATGAAAAATAATAAACACAATCACTGACATGCACTGAGAACACATTTGAGCACAGCTCTCATTTTAATTATACAAGGACCAGATAGCTTGTAGTAATAGTACCAAAACCCTTTATTCCTTCAGTACCCCTGAGACACATTTTCCAAGTCCACAAAACACATATGAACTGGAAACCATGGGTAAATGGTTGGTCTGCTGTACCACACTAAAGATGAAAACTACATTTTTCCACCTGTATCTAAGGTTCAACAACCAGCTGGAGTCTCCTTTCCAGGACCCTAGAATAGGCTTTCCCTGGAGGCTGAGTAGTGTGACCCCCTGGTAACTGGTGCACACTCGCTGGTCCCCCTGTTTAAAAAAGGGGAACACCATCTCAGTCTGCCACTTCACAGGTACTCTCACAGGCCTTCAACATCTCAGGGCGAGTCAGATATAGATACGGCTCTCCCTCCTCCTCCTCAGTGTCAGTGTGACTCTTGTACTAATCTAATCTAATATAATCTAATATAATCTAATATTGCATTAATCCACTACTCTACTGTTGTATGATGGTAGAACAGAGCCATGATTTTATATCTGTGTGTGGCGCCACATGAGGTGGCAGCCTGTTACAGCAGCTCCCAAGTGTTTCATACTACTGTGGTGGAGAGGAGGACACTGAACAAACTGTTATCCATCATGGATAACCCTGACCACTCTCTCCACCTCACTACGGACAGACAGTGGAGCTCCTTCTCCAACAGACTGTTGCAGCTCTGCTGTCCAAGGGACAGATACAGGAAATCTTTCCTGCCACAAGTAATTGCACTGTTTAATAACTCACATCTGTCAGACAGGGACTCACATCTGTCTGCTGTATAGTCCATTTTTAAAACTCCTACCACATCACATTACTGAGCACCTTAATTTGTCTGTTTATTTATCATCCCATCTGTATATTTCACGTTTCATATTTATTACTCATTTCAATAGCCCACGTTTTTCATATCTCACTTTTTTGTCTTAGGATGTTTAGAATATTTAGTCTGTATTTATTGTATACACTTAGTATTTTTAGTCTATATTGTACTTTTTATATTCAATTTTATTTTGTTTTGCAAAAATTTTATTTTGTATTTTTTTGCTGCTGTAACATGTGAATTCCCCAGTTTTGGATCAATAAAGTCTGTCTGTCTATCCATCTATCTATCAGGCTTCATGAATGTAACTTTCTTTTTCTCTGTGTGACTTGTTTACCTTTACTTATTCATACATTTATTTGTTTATTCATTTTCCAAAGAGTATTCGAATAAACGTAAACCTGAACAGACCATGCAGGGACTACATAAACTCTGTTTGACCCATCACCTCATATTCACATTTCTGCAGGTGTGATTATTAAAATGTTGTTTTTTTCCATCATTGTCTCAGATTTTTTCACTATTCACTTCAATAGTTCAGCTTCTGTTTTGCACCTTTTTGTCTTGTTTTGGCACTCTAACCAAATATACCACTGCACTGAGAACTGTGGAAGGAAAAAAAGCTCTACTTTTCTATTGCGGATGTTGTAACAAGCTTTAAAGCCACCTGTATTTACAGAGGCAAAAATCAATTCAGTCTACAGTGTACAATAAAGCTCCCAGTTGTTTCCACCAAATCCCACAATATCTCTAGAGCTATTCATTTCAGTGAAAGTGGAGAGAAATTTAACCTGCTGGCTGTTGTCGCGACGCTGCACCACATGAAGAATGTGTTGTCTTCTCACGCAGCATTTTCATTTGTCATGAATCTAAAGTTTTACATGCTTTTACTCACTGTATCATAGAGAACAACAATCATGGCAGAAGAAGTTTCACGAGGAAGACTTAGCTTTATGACAAAATGCAAATGTATGATGCATTGCAGAGAAGCTGAACATGAGTTGCTAAACCGAGTCTTTCAGAGGAAATTGTTTTTTGTTTACTACAACCCAAAGAAAGGAGTGAGTCGGTGAGGTTATTAGCCTGTGCAATAAACAACTGCTTCTGCTAGAGATATGTAAGGGAACATATGCAGCTGCCACAAATGAACAATCTCAGTTCTCACAGTCTCAATGTTGCACTCAGACATCATTAAATTCTTCTGTCTTTGCCCCCTTGAGACCCTTTACGTGCACCTTGACAAGTTCGTGCACTGCTCATATCAGTAAGAACAAAAAGCACTCTTCCACATGTATAACATCCATCTTTGAAGGAGTATTGAAGCAAAACACAATTATTCTGCACTGAATATTTTAAACTCAATGAACAGTTCATGGGGAAAAATGATGGGATGATTGTTTGCAGAGAGGTTTTGTTCTTTTGAAGTGTGGTTGTTTGAGGTACTTGTCAAAAGAAAGTGTATTTCCCCAAAGGAGATCCTGATCAGCTTCGACCCCTTTGTTTAGTGACCAGCTGGAGAACTGGCACAGGAGCTCTACCTCTTCATAATTGGATGCAAACACTGATGATTGTATCAGTGCACACTCCACTTGGAAATATGTCAAAGCTTTTTTAAAAGCAGGTAACTCTATTGATGGCGTGCAGTCAACATAGTTTTTGCCCACTTTTATGATTTAATGCTGATTTTTTTACGTTTTTGCATCTAACTTCAAATGCTGGACACAGTGAGGAGTTTGATGTTTCAATCTCAGTCAATGACACCAATTCATTAAAAATATTCTCTAAAGGCAATTTACAAAATAGCAGCTCTAGACCATACTTCATGTCATATTAAGTGTATATGTAATATATTTTTTCAGCTATGTCTTCACAGCTTCTAGAGTATTTTCATAAACACGTGTCTTGTGGCCCATGGCTGGAGTAATTCAAAAAACAGAGAGAGTCATAAACTTTCGTGGTTTCGTAATTAAACTTCTAAAAATTGAAGAAATCCTGAGCTCCATCCAGTACGGCAGGAGACTTATTGGTGTGTTATGCAGGCTGCAGCCATAAATGATCTGCTGGATATCCTCTGATTCAGAACGGTCCTGATGTACTGTTGTTAACAGGTTCCACTAGCAGGAGCAGTAAGTCCCTAGATTTCCAGGCATGGACTCTACACACCTGCACCAGAGGTAACTTGGGACAGGGCTTGACAGTGTGACCGTTTCATTCGCATTTGCGACTAAAAATAGATGTGTGTGAATTGTAAAATCTATTTAGGGGCACATGTGCACATAAAAAAAAAATCAGTCGAGGAAACAAATGTTTTTTCATATAAATACCGCAGTGAAGTTGGTTTTAGGTTCGATATTCGACGGACATCCACTGTGGATCTACCGGTGTGACCAAAAGACCTAAAATTAATTTCAAATAATAATACTGACGTCGACCAATAAAACATTCATTATTTGATCAATTTTCATTGTGTGCTCCTTACTTTCTCAACTCAGGCGCACATGTGCGCCTTGTGAGAGTAGTTAATGTCAAGCCCGATGTGATCTCTTCTGCTCTCCAGTTAATGCAGAGTATGTTGAGTCTGGCCCTAACTTCATTAACTGCAGTTTTTATAGATGTCCTCTTATGTAGATAGTGATCAGTGCACTTCAGGGAACAGCACTGAAAATATTGTAGTACACATCTTCAGCGATACTGATGTTTGTATCAGAGTCTTTCAATGTTGGCTGAATCAAGTTAAAAATGTAGCCCAGCTGCAGCAGCCGATAGCCAACGCTAATTCTGGTTCTTCAGCTGGTTTTACAGCAAAGAATCAGAGCTGACACAACTGACAAGACAAGTACCTCTTTGAACCTCATAAAAAAATAAGCCAAGTAGTTGGAGGTAAGTATACCTGAGACTTCTTAATGACTTTTATAACTTTTCTCTGGTATTTATTGAAGAACAGTGCCAGACATTGAACTGCAATTGTGATTATTCCCCATGAATAAAAACAACAACAATTATCTCAAGGGATTGAAAGTTTGTCTCATTATTTTCAAATTAGGAAGGGACTTGGAATGACGTTTCCTACAAGCTAAATTAGAATAAGATTGATAATCCAATACCTTATATATTTATAAAGATATTAACCATCTGTTATGCGTCACATCATTATAAATTGCTGTCGCAATAAAGACAATAACAAAAGTTATACAGTGGAACTGATACCTGAATGGAGAAACTTAGAGAAGATTCCATATACTTAAACATAAAAAAGAAAAACATACAATAAAAAACACTAAATTCTTCTCTGAGGAGACAAGTTTGGCATAGATCACCCATGTGAACAAAGCAATGCGCTTTTGGTGATTTTATCAGTGCTGTGTCATGGCTTCAGAGCGTGTGCCGAGTTACCCCAGAAATTTCCAGCCAAGCGAGTATTGAGGCATGTGTTGGTGATGTATGTGATGAAGTTCGAAGCCTTGCAAACTGGCCGTACCACGTGACTGATTCAAGAAACAGTTTGCGGGTTTGGCGGATGAATCGAAAAACTTGTTGAAAAGCTGTTTTTGGAATAAAAGTCAATGAAATGTTTAAGTGTGATATGTAGTCCCCATAACAAAAGCACTGACAGAAACCAAGTAACACAAGCACATTCACATCACAACCCTCTCC